TTTTGTTCTTCTTTACCAGTGTTCTGAGCAGAGAAGGTTCAGGGCTTAGCGAAGTAAAGAACACATTCATTCGCAGAGATGTTAGACTGATAACTTCTGTTACCTTTAGCAAGCACCGCAAAGCAATCACGTTATGAAACTATGTTTTGAGAATAGCTCTAAGACTTGTTTATGCTAAAACAAAATATCACCGCCAAGAATTCACAGCTTCTATCTGATAATCAATGTGCAGCTACAGTGTATAAATCATAGCTTTGGATGCATAATTCTGCCTTTATTCTTCTTTCAACCAAAGCCCTGAGGCTGCAGAGCGACTTTTCATTTCCAAATAACATGTATCACCTCATATTTGGGCCCATGGCATTGATATTCTCTGTTATACACACTCTAAAAGTTGGGATAATAGGAGTTCAATTCCTGATGCTAAAGCAAAAAATGATAAAACATATACATAAATGCTGCCTATTATTCAATTTACCGTGGCCCACATTTCTTATTGTGGAGTTGAATGGAGTTGGACTCCCACAGGTTCTCTATCTGTGATATGTGTTAATATTTAACTAATGGTTTAATATTAAAGGGACACTATAGTCACAAAAACAACTTTAGCTTAATTAAGCCGTTTTGGTCTATAGACCAAGTCCCTGCAGTCTCATTGCTCAATCCTCTGCCATGTATAAGTTAAATCACTTTTGTTTATTCAGACCTAGTCACACCTCCCTGCATGTGACTCACACAGCATTCCTAAACACTTCCTGAAAAGAAATATCTAATGTTTAAACTTACTTTACTGAACATTCTATTTAATTTATAATTTATTTTCTTCTGCTCTGTTAATAGTCTTCCAGACCTTGCAGGAGCCTGCTGTGTGTGATTATAGAGCAGGAGATAAAAATGTTGAATGCAAGTAAACATCTAATTGAAAATGAAGCCATTTTTATTCACGCTGGCTATGTGAGTCGCAGTCAGGAGAGGTGTGGCAAGGGCTGCATAAACATAAACAACAGTGATTTAACTCCCTAATAGCAGAGAATTGAACAGTAATACTACAGGGGCATGATCTATACACCGAATTGCTTCATTAAGCTAAACTTGTTTTGAGGCCTATACTGTCCTTTTAAGTATTGCAAAATATTGAGATTCAAAGAAAACATTTGATGAATATTTTACAGTTGAATGTTCTAGGAGTCTACTCGAGTTTTGATGAACACAAAGTTATTAGACTGGTCTCCTCAGGGTAGGGGGAAATTGCACAACCTTTTGGCATTTTGGCAATTTGGGCAAATGGTCTAATTAAAGTTAAAGATAGAGTCACCTTGTATGTCTGGCTAATGTTGCAGTATAATTACATCAAATAGCATTACCCTACAAGAAACCAAGTCTGTTTGGCAGTCTTTTAGTGCTATGATTCAGCAATGCCAACGATTTTAAACATTCATTTTCCGGACATTCTCCCTATAAAGATAAAAAATCCCATGCCACAAAACAAAACAGCGGATATCAATACTACTAAACATCTAAACACCAAAAAATAAGACGGTGCCTCAAAATAAAGCCAAACCTGGAAATGAAATAAAATAAATATATAATAAATTATATATATTATAAATAATATATAATAAGTACAAATATATCAAACAACATCTTGCTGTAATTCCAACCAACCTAACCCACTGAGAGCTATACAGAGACTACAGTAGCTATTTTCTCTGACACTTACTAATGGTGATAAATGAAGCACAAGATAGTTACATGTTCAGGGACACGTAGAGTTAAATTTCTCATTCAATGGCATCTGTTTTCTCTTCAGCCACTATAAAATATTGAAGTATGCAAGTTCAATGAACGTGGCCTGTCTGGCTAGAACCAAGTTCCACGAAATACAACAATTGAAAACGAAAGCTTTGTGCAAAAGAGGTATTATTTCTGGAGAAAAGGAATTATTTAGTAACATTAACTTGCGTGCTGATTATTTTTTTTGACATGGGGATTTCTTCTTTTGAGGGTTCCTTTGTAACAATGACTCTTCTATGAATAAAGGGTTCAAACTAAAATGTGTTAGCAGTTAGGGGTGCTGCGTTTTCAAGCAGTACACATCAATTAGACGCCCACAGACATCGTCCTTGGGAAAGCAACTTTATCTTTTGTGCCTCAGCTAGAAAGGTAACTATTGAAAACAATAAGAGACTTCTGTTCACAGGTTTCATATTACTGTAAGTAAAAAGATGGGACAAATATATTGATACAGACAAACTGTTTTAGAAGGGGGGTTATCTATGGAACTTTTTTATTTATAAACTAACTACACTACAATTAGTGTACAAAGTCATGAAAATAGGTATTAAAATTAAAAAGTAAGCAAACTATATTTTTTTTATAGTTAGCAAATAGTAATCCTACAGCATACTAATATTAATTAAGTCAGACTGGAACTGAGTCACATTTATCAATTTTGATACATCAGCATTATAAAACTGAACAAAAAAAAACACAGAGAAAACAGAAATAAACTTAGAGAAGACAGTGCATATGCAGTAGAATGGTCTTCAAAAATGTGTATGGAGTAAGCAAATTTCTGTTCAGTCGCGGAGCCTCTAAGTATTTGAGGAAATCAGCCCAATGCAGTGGCTTTTGGTCCAAATGTGACGCTGAAAGAGACTCAAATTGGACATGCATAGAGATATCCCAATGATGGCCTTTGCAAAGTAGATGGGGTGTTAATTTGCAATCACAGGAATTAGACCATGGAATGGACTAGTTTGCTCAGGATTTGCAGACTTTATTACATAATATTGTTTAGTTACAATTCAAACTTGCTTTGGTGGTACCATCCAAGTCTTGTACTACCGCTGGTCCTTATACTTCATGACGGTTACCCAGAAGGCTGTTAAGAATTTTTAACTCAGATTCCACATGTACCTTCCCTTGCAATAGAGACATTATTCAACTAACTGGAAAAGCTGTTAGTTGTGTTAATACTAAGGGTATTTGACTAGCCTTGCTGCTCTGCGACTAATGGTAAAACCTTCCTCAATTTAAATAGTGTGATAGACCACCAGGTAGTTATGCCATAGAATTTAAAATGTAGCCTTGGAGTTCATTTGGAATAACGGGCCTTAGTTAGAGAATTACTAATGGACTCACTTACTATATTCTGGATGGGGAAGCAGTACTATTGATTTAATAGTTGGTACCATGCCTCCCTAGGGAATGGTCTGCTCTCTCTCACTAACTGAAAATAAGGCTATGGAGGAGTATATGCTAAGTAAGTATGTCCTAATTTAGTGTTTTCTAAGAAAATTCAATCGTCACTCTTCAATCTTCACATCCCACTGAGTACTGAACATTTCGTGATATTACAAAGATCAGAAATCTTCACTAAGTTCGATTTGTGAAAAGCATGCAATCTGGTACGTATAAAAGAGGGACATGAATGGAAAATGGCCTTCAATACCTAGAGTGGTTGTTGTGCTTTTACAGTTATGCCTTTTAACTTATGCATAAATGAAATTCTTAGAACATTTCTAAATACTTGTGTCATGATGTGTTTAAATGACACTTTGATATACTTTGATATACTTTGCAGATGAAAATTAAAACTCACACAATGCAGGGGAATTTAACCATAAATAAGACCATATTATAAGAAAACTTACAGGAACGATAGGTTGAAGAGGACCCTGCTCAAACGAGCTTATAGTCTATAGGAGGTGGGTGTAAAACACAATAGGACACAGTTCAACCTGATCAGTTAAGTGATTATTATTATTAGCACTTATATCGCACCAACAAATGCTGCAATGCTTTGAAATCATAGATAGGATATTTTGATGTGAAGAAGTCTCTGCTCAAATGAGCATCAATCTGTGAGGGCTTGAGGTCAGCATATGTATATCGTTAGGTGTCGCTAGTTACCAGTGCGTTTGTCCAGCCAGAATTTACGTGGGTTTCCGAGGTCTAAGGCAGTGATTTTACCACAACTCTAACCAGCCAATAGATTATTATCCATCCACCAACAATATTTGTCTCAATGTGCCATCCAAGATGCTGGCTTCCAATTAAATTGGGCCCTCCATTACCCAGGTTAACCCTGTAACATAGTCCTTATGTTACATAGTCCTTATGCCAATATCACTCTTTTTCCCAAATACTTATCACACTGCCCTACTCAAAACTTTAAACTGTAGCCAATTTTCCTGTTGACACTATAACCTGTTTCATGTCAGTTTTTTTTTTAATCAATCTCTATATGTTTACCTTCCTTAAGGCATTTTATGTTTAGCTAGACCATCCTAAGATCCGAAATATACTATTAATTTGTATTATTTCTCACATTTTTTCACTGTCCATCTACCCTGGAACTGAGTGCCTTTATCTTGGCTTCCTGTCAATCATTGTCAATCATTGCCAGTTTGCACAGACATTGGAGGGAAAGAGGGGATTAATTAAATTGTGATTTTCTTGAAAGTGCTCAGTAATGGGATTTGGGTACTACTTCCAATGGTTTCTGTGAAGATCACCTCACTTGTAGTACTTGGCTCCATTTTCCAGAATACAGCACTTTGATAAATCTCACCCAATTTTTATCCATTTCTTCTCCTGCAATACAATGTGTTTCTGGCCTTTCCATGACGGAATTGACCCGGTTGTGATATTATTTAATTAACCTTTGAAAATGGTTCATCGCATAAAACAAAAAGTTAGCACAATTTCTACGTTACTTTCAGTGTTTTATTTAATTGTCTAATTTCCAGATAAGACATAGCCTTATCTGGAAATTATACAATTTCCATTTATACAATTTCCTCCCTTTAACGTAAGTAAATGTTTTTGAAGAAGGAAAACAAAAGAGGACATGATTCAGTGCTAGAAGGTGGTGCACAGGTACTATGAGGAAATATTGTGTAACAGAGAAGGTAGTTGATACCTGGAATAGACTTCCAGTGTAATACAGTGGAGCAAAGAAATTCTGAAATTCTTTGATGTGCGTAAAGCTTTCACCCCCCCCAACAGCAAATAAGAAAAATCTGTTTGTGCATTCATAATAGGCCAACTGTGTCTTATCTTTCTTCACAATCTGTGTTTTCATGACTAGAGGTTTTGATACAACAGATATAATTAGGTCACCGGAGTGTTAGTGGCCTTGTACGTGACTAAATGTAGAAAAGCCATATAAATACACGAAAAGGCACTTGGAAGCCTGGGAAAATGGTAACAGCCTGTCAATAACACCTCTGTTAAATGAACAGTTATTATGTTGCCCATGAACAGCGAGGAAATGAACAGGTCAGAGAGGCTCAAGTAGTTGAAAACAATAATAAATGCAGAATTTGACATCTAAATGGGGATTTTCAAGAGATCGGTAAAATTGCTGGAATTGTAAGAATGGGAGAATGCAGGTGTTTTATGTGACAACTCCAATCACCCTTTGTCTTTGAGCGATGGGAGTTGGAAACCACTGAGGATTCACAGCATGAACTGCATTGCACAATTATTGTTTTAAAATAAGCACTCATTTTCCTTGGTTCCAAAAACATTTTTTTTCCCCTGAAATAGTTCTGCTGATAAATAATGTGTGTTGTTGTTTTTTCCTATGTCCTTTTATAAGCCTTAAAGCCTGCATGAAGAGGAGACTGAGGAGGATCAACATTAAGTCCAATTCACTTCTTCGTCTTTATTTTCTATCCTTTCCATGTTTTATTCTAACAAATAAATCACTGCCCAGGTTTGATTTCAAGGGTTGAAGTGTCACTTCTGAAGGATAAAGTCTTCGTAGTTTCATCATTTCACTTGCAAATTTAATAAAACTTGGAAACAGCCAGAGGCATCAGATGGAAAGTGACTGTACAGAAGAAGACCCAGTGGCAGAAGGGAGGGGGGAAGAAGCCTCTACCTGTCAAAGGGAGGGAGGGCTCAGACTGTGAAATAAATGAAAATGCTTCTAGCTGTTTTGAGGCTGCGAGGCTCTTCCCAGTGAGAGGTATCCTGGCACTGCTAGCCCCTGGGGAATCTCGCACTGTTTATGACAGAGACCGGTATAAGATCCTGGTGTTTGTGGATAAGTCCCCGATGTCTTATCTTTGCACGTACAGTTCTAATTCTTAAAGATGTAGCATATTTACGAATGCAATGTTTATTAACACAGGAATTCTAGTCAAATTAATTTTTTTTTATTGAAAGATTTTCAAAATATTAACATACCAACATTTCTACACATCAATTCCAACAGCATAACATAGAGCTCTGAATAAACATGCCTGGGAGCTTCCTATAGGACCTAAACCTTCAATATAATTGTTCTTATTTTAGCCAGCCACTGAGATTATGTTAAAACCCCCTAATGCATTACACACAAGGCTTCTAACACCTGTACGCAAGCAAGGATTGTCAGCTGTGACATATTAGGAAGAGGGAGAAATATCATCTTATTACTGTAGAGTATGAAGATAGCGGGACTAAGATATATTTACCCATAGGTAAAGGTTAAACCCTTGGTGATTCCCAGGTATATCATTTTTTATATGAGGCGGTTAGTATAGCAGAGCTCCGAGGCAATAAAAACAACATGGAGAATAAAACCAACATGGCTAGAATGTACAGAACAGCAGCAGAGAGAAAACTATAAAAAAATAAAATAAAATTCACAACTTGTTTTGTTATTGTTTATAAAAAAACAACACATTCACGCAAAATACATATTGTATTGCAAAATGTTAGTGAGATTTTTTGTGAATAAAAAATAATTGTTTACGTTGAATGTTTATGGTTGGCATTCAGAATGAGAGATCCATCCAAGTGTTGCACCACCCTCTCCTCTGTTATAGTCCCGACCATTACCACAATATCTTGTTCATTTCTTATGCTTTTAGTATTGGCCACAACATATTAAGCAAATAACTGCAGTATGCACACATGCAGGGAATAGCCCCATACGCAATAAGGCAAAAGCATCTGGCATGCGTATGAGGCTTGACTTTGTTCATGCTTTTTAACAATATCTGGAGTTTGTAATTCACACCCTGGATGGCTGAAATTCGTGCTGAATGCTTCAAATCCAGGCAGTGCTAGCAGCCATCAGGCAAACAGTTAAAAAAACAAAAACCTATGTGGTGCGAGGGTTAATTATATGGTGGCTGGTCAGCGCTTGCTAGTCAGCTGCCAGATTAAAAAAAGTAAAAAAAAATAAATCAATAGTAAATAAAAATCCTATGGTGGTCAAGATGTCTGCCATATTACTATAATGGAGGTATTTCATCTTTCCAGTGGCTGAACAGTCGCTAGATTTAAATATTTAGCATACATACCACCATGCATGGCATGTGGTGGCTTGGGGAGGTAAAATACCTCCATTGTATGATTTTTTTATACAAAAGGTATACAGGCAAAAAAAGGCGCTTACAATAAAATAAAACAAATGGTTAAACAACGTGATAATATATAAATAATAATGAAGTTAAAAATAACTTCATTCTCCCATCCTGACATAAACAGGGTTGCATAGCTGGGGGCGGACCTGGTCCCCATAGCTGTGCCTTGTTGTTGTAGATAAAATTTGGAGTAAAAAGTAAAATAATTGTTATCTAAAATCCATTTAATACTATCAGTTAAAAGGTTAATATGATTCTCTGTAAAGTTCTTTACATAGGCATTCCTGTACTGTATTGCAACCTAATGTATGGGGGATAGAAGTATAAAGTTTCTGAACTTACTAAAACATACCCTTCTTACCAATTTATATCTTTAAGAATCTTGATCATATCTGTAGTGTCTTTCAAACACAATGGCATTTCTTTTACTAAGTTCTGCAGCCAAATGTCCACATATTTAGAAAGATTAGCTGAAATGGATCAAATACCGGACACAATGGGTCTTCGTGGGGGTTTCTCCAAATTCTTATGTACTTTAGGCAAAGAGTAAAAAAAACATATGATGCACAATAAAATAAAATAAATGGTAAAACGACGCGATAATATATAAATATTAAAGAGGTATAAAAAAAGGTAAAAAAACAGCTGCACCTTTTAGTGAAATTGCTCAAAATACATCAAAAGTTATTGCTTTTGATGTATTTTGAGCTATTTTAAAATATATAGTGAGTACATAAAGTGCACACAGTGAAGTGACAGTGCACTTTTAAAGTGCTATATTATATATATATATAAGTACAATAAAGTGCATATGAATACCTAGTGCAAAAGGAGACAATAGTAGGGGGAAAAAAACTTACTATGATTATTTAAAATGGGAACTTCATGATTAACTCCCAAAGATATATTGAAACAAAAAGAGATACAAAATAGTGTAATACTGTAACACCACAGAAAACAAGGTATGCAAATAAAATAAACTCACAAGGAAAGAGCAGTGAAAGTCTGCTCTAACTTTTCTGGCTTTGCTCCTTGTACTAATGATTGAGAGATTGTAGATGACCAGGACGGCAACTGGATATCGAGAAATTCTTTCTTTATTATAAATGAGATTAAAAAAAATTACATCAAGTGATTCAGCTCTTTCACCCCAAAGAAGTCTTTATCCATCGATTATGCAGTCTTTAAACACTCGCGGCTAGCACTAGCAGTTTCCAAGCTGCAGTATCAATGGGGAGTACTATCGGGAATACGTGCGTCGTACGATCACGTGATGACGTTGTATGTATCTGTGCGTGATGACCCGTTTCACCTTGACAGCTTCCTCAGGTCACGTCACAACCCCGCTGAAAGAGCTGAATCACTTGATGTGATTTTTTATCTTGTTTATAATAAAGAAAGAATTTCTTCCTATCCAGTTGCCGTCCTGGTCATCTACAATCTCTCAATCCTTAGTATAAGGAGCAAAACCAGAAAAGTTAGAGCAGACTTTCACTGCTCTCTCCTTGTGAGTTTATTTCATTTGCTTACCTTGTTTTCTGTGGTGTTACAGTATTACACTATTTTTTCTCTGTTTGTTTTTCATATATTATGTTTCAATATATCTTTGGGAGATAATCATGAAGAAAAAAAACTTACTATGATTATTTAAAATGGGATTTTAAATAATCATAGTAAGTTTTATTTCCTTACTATTATCTCTTTTTGCACTTGGTATTCATATGCACTTTATTGTACTTATTATATATAATATAGCACTTTAAAATTGCACTGTCACTTGCACTGTGTGAACTTTATGTATTCACTATATATCTTAAAGGTATAGCGCACCTTTTTTACTTTTGATTTTTTTTTTTTTTGCAAGAGCTGGCCATCCACCACATAATTAACCCTTGCATGGCTGAGGGTTTTAAACTATTTGTCCACTGTCAGCGCTAGCAGCCAAATAATACTTAAAATCAATGTTGACTGGCAAAAAGCAAATGAACACCGATTTACGCATATGCATTCTACTGGATGCAGTCGGTCTTGAATTTTATTAAAATTGGTGCTCTGTGAATATTCTGAATCCTATGCTTTGTATAGGATTCATATGCAAAAGCAAATATAGACACCGGATGCATCCGGGTAAATGCTGCAAATTCGCTTGGTCCTACCAAACTCTGACCACATTTGGCTTTACTAAATATGTGAATGGTCAACGCAGTCGGAGTTCGGTCATGTCCCGTGTGTTTGGCCATCTGGACAAAATCCAGTGTTTAGCTATAACCCCATCTATTTTCTATAGGATTAAGATGTGAAAGTATTAATTTTAATCCAGACACCGAATGGATCTGAGTGATTACAGATTCTAATGGGCCTACCATAATTCGGTAATTTTCACCAGATTTTGTCCATCTGCATAAAATCCGGTGTTTAGTGAATTACTTCGATAGTTGCAGGCATACATACATACAGGTGTTCTCTTAGACAAGGTTATTTACTATTGTGAGAATTTTAGGTGAATTCAATGTGAATTTCAAATTTAAATACAGTGTAGCTGAATGGAAAGCATTTTTCCTATGTGGCTATTTTGACCTTAAATTTGAAATTCACTTTTAATTCACCCTGAATTCTCACTTCAGCAAATAACACATACTAACACAGAGAGATTCGCACACGCTCAAAGATTTTTGACCACAAATAAACTCTGCAAATGTTCCATTCCACCATCCAGTAGGTGCACTCTTGTGTTGAAATGGGAACTATGAACACCATTGGATGAAATGGAAGTCAATGTCATGCAGAACCAGCTTGAGATGTTGTGTGTATAAAATTGGTAAAATGGGGACATAAAGAAACATAGAAACATAGAATGTGATATCAGATAAGAACCATTCGGCCCATCTAGTCTGCCCAATTTTCTAAATACTTTCATTTGTCCCTAGCCTTATCTTATAGTTAGGATAGCTTTATGCCTATCCCACGCATGCTTAAACTCCTTCACTGTGTTAACCTCTACCACTTCGGCTGGAAGGCTATTCCATGCATCCACTACCCTCTCAGTAAAGTAATACTTCCTAATATTATTTTTAATCCTTTGACCCTCTAATTTAATGTCCTCTTGTTGTGGTAGTTTTTGTTCTTTCAAATATAGTCTCCTTTAAAGTGTTGCCCATATCTAGAGCACGGGTAGGCAACCTTTGGCACTCCAGATGGTGTGGACTACATCCCCATAATGCTCTTACTCCCATAATGCTGGCAAAGCATCATGGGAGGTGTAGTCCAAAACATATGATGTTCCAAAAGTTGCCTATCTCTGATGTAGAGCATTATAATATTGCATTGAAATGATGCTCTGTTTGTATTGAGAAGCCAAAATCATGTCACGAAAACATTCACTGTACCAATACACTACTATAATTTTCTGTTTACTTAGGGCAGGAGGGATGAGTTCATGCTACACCACTGCACAAAGAGTCATTAGTTCGTATTAATCAGTCGAATCAGTCAATTCCTTCTCTCATTAAAATTGTGTTACAGTCCACTTAACTTTCACATGAAATTTTTGTTTACTGCACTGTTCACTGTAAACGCAGGAACCCGTAGTGCACGAGAACCATTTAACATCAGCTACCAAGCTCATCACCAACAATAAGATAATCATTTCAACAGTTACTTCTTTCCAATGTTGGGCTGAACAACAACCTAAACTTTTGGCCATGTCTGCGTGATTTGGCTGCTCCTACCTTATCTGCAGTTCGTCTATTTGCATATTTCAGTTTAGATGTCCAATACGCAATTCAAATATTTGCCACCGAGTGTGTGTTTTCATCTCACAAGCATTGCTCACAACAATAGCAATAAATCATTAGAATAAAGTAAAAAATAGGGATACTACTAAAATAACAAGCATGGATGTGACCTCTGTGATACATTTCCTATAATAATGTAACAATTATATTGTAACAAGAAATGTTATGCCGTAAAATGTGGTCTGTTAATAAAATGTATTTTAAAATCAGCAAAACCTATCTCATCACACAAGACAGATGGGAAAAACATTAACAATGGTACACAGTTATAAAATGACAAAAAAGAAAATGAAAAAAAAATGGAGTGTTACTATGGCAACTAGCAGGTTATTTAGGAAACTCAGCACTCATTGTAGTTGATGTTAAAAGGGTCAAAACTGATTGAGCTCTGACGCCATCTTCCATCAGGACCAGACAAATTAATCCTAGAAGTGGCTTTTGACCATCGCTTTTGAAAATGGCCTTCATATGACTATATTCCGAACAGCAGCTGTAACTATTTTGCAAAGAAGCTGCATTTATGAGTATTGCCTAAAGCAATAACCCTTTACGTATCCAGATTCATATAAAATACATCCAAATATATATGTACATCTCTTCAGAAGGAATATAATTAACCCATAGCATTGATGATATGTCATGGAGTCACAGTCTAGACCCTAAGGAATCCCTTTATTATTATTGTTATTCCTTACAGCTTGTCAATGCATTCTGCAGAGCTGTGCAATTGGTATATAAAAGAAATCCAACAAAAACGAGTAAAAAGTTAAACTGCACAGAAAGACAGTGGAAGGAAGGCTGGGACCTGCAATCCTGCAACACTTGATTTAAGAGTTTTAATGCACCTGGTCCAGCTGGTGCTTGAACGGACCACTTAACACATGGCATAGATTCCAGAGATGGTTTACATACAGTGGTACCCAGTGACCTTCACAAAGACAGATAATCTGATAATACTTATCCTGAGATATGGGACCATGGTGTTGGAATATAGGATAGGAGTGATCTAATGGCCAAGGGCTCATGTTTAATCTTTCACCTGCCAGCTACTAGTCTCTACAGTGCCTATTGAGTAGTGACTATTTATCAACTGCCAAATTTCACAGGTAGCAGCAGGGAGTTAGCAGCTGTCACTACTTAAAACCAGTCACTAGGTATTGGCTAATTGCACCCATTATTTTTCAAGTGAGCACTAACTTCTACTTAGTGACTGGTTTCTGACTGGCTTCCAAACACTTTCACTACTCAACACCAACCTGGAAAGAAGGTAACGAGAGTGAATTTACCATGCATCCTATAGAAAACCTACATATTAGCTATATAGCAATACATGGAAATTCGACAGAGCACATTAAACCAAATCAATGGAAGTATTAACTAAAAGGTCAGACACATGAGGTAAAAATATAATTATTATTTATATAAGTAACGTGCCTGTGCCATGTCAATGAACAATTCACATTGCAGAAAAAACCCTCGAACGTTCCATAAAGATACAGATATAGTTATAGCTACAGCTGCCATCGTCTGCAACTGCTATAGTTGTAACCGTTCGTACTCCAATTTACCGCTATAACGTCTTATAACTTAGAATTTAGCAGGGCTAACCATACAGATATCTTAGCTAAAATATTGTATAGTCGGTATAGAGTTTCTCTATTTAAAATACATAAATAACTGAGAATACAATAAAAATAGGAGTTGTAAGCAATAACTTTTGTCTTATTAATATAGTTTATTGAATAAATGAATAAAGATCCATTAATATATCATAAAGCAGAGTATATAAAATTAAATGAATAAATGCTTGCAATATAATTAGTATAACATACCCTCCTGATTATACAGGTAATCTCTCAGTATGTCAACTCCAGAGTCGGTCAGTATGTCTCTACCTAGCATTGATCATGCATGTATATATACCATAGCATTTCTAATTACTACTGGTAATGTATGGGTTAATTCATCTTAGGGTTAAAAGCAGTTCATATATAAAAATAAAAGAAAAACACCCTTATCAGTCTAATGTCATAACCTAGACATCTTTAATCTGTATTTGGACTAGAAGTTAGGTTGACATACACCTTAGGGTTAAGAGAAGGTCATATATAAAAAATAAGTCTAATGTCATAACCTAGACATCTTTAATCTTTATTTGGACTAGACGTTAGGATGACATAGGCAAAGCCTTGAATTGTTATTGCATTAAATTAAGACAAGATGGAGTAAACATGTTGTGTGCTGTAAATAGGTAAAAGGTTATTAGTTAAAGAAACAGTTGCAGTTTAAAGAAATACAATGTAGCAATGTGTATTATACCTACAATTGCCCATCACATAGTTAATTTTGTCTCCCCCCCAACCCCCCTTACTGATACACTGGGAGAGGTAAGATTGACGAATGCTCTGTATGTCATCAGTATGAGTTTTTTTTTAAATTGTTTTTATTTTGCACGTTAAGTGGTATCAGACATAGATCATATGCGAAAAAATTGATGCACTGTTGCCTTCGCAGAGGCGCAATAAATCAGATAATAGACATATAGTGCGTATGGTTGCCTGCGCAGAGGCATAAAGGGCTGCAAATATAGGCATCTTTAGATCAGTCGCGTTTAACCAGTGCTGGCATAGTGCACTGCACAGAAAAGCTTAGTCTGGTTTGATTAATGGCAATTTACTTACACATAACTGTAATGCTTATAATAACAAGGTTTGTAAACTTATATTGCTTAAAATTAATGTTACTAGTAATACGGATGATCTGCATGTTTGCAGCTTACTTTTAGAAAATCAAATAAAATTTGCGGTCATGTGTTAAGCTTAGGTTTCCTTTGCCCTCCGACCTGAGTGCTTAGAAGGAATGCATAAACAAACAAATTATATTAAGTGTACATGGGTTCCCATAATATCGAGGAGTGGCATGTTTAGCCTATTTAAACCATCCTTAACAGTAAAAGGAAAGAAGGAGAGAAAAAAAAAGAAAAAAAAGGTTAGTCACTTCGCTGGAGGGGGCGATATGAAGCCTGCGTGGAGTTCCCAGCCTCCCAGGTGGTATATCCACGAGCTTCCCTCCGGTATAGCTGTAATATGCGTTCAGGGAGCCAGCTGTTCCCATCCGAGTCCCCCTGGCATCCCCGGTCACGGCTGGCCCCTCTCCCCCCCCCCCTCAGGGCCTGCGTCCAAACCTGCGGTAAGTTCCACCGCGCTGTGGGCACTCGGAGACCGCAGCTGTCTGGCACCCCCCCCCCCGCAGGGTCTGCCAGGGCTCCAGCCTCCTGCACCTCCCCAGCTACAGCAGAGTCTCCCTGGAGCTCCAGTCCCGTCCTGCCTCGCCCGCTTCCGGTCTCATACATGGCGCCGGTACGCGGTCCTCCGGCCACCGGTCCGCCGACGGGTCCGCGCACTCCAGCGCCACAGGACTCACAGATTTGGGGGCATATTCTCCGGACCACCACCAAATCCGAAGATCAGGGCCGGCTCCGCGCCGATCAGTCCGCCGCCTGAGGGGGTTCAGTCGTGGGGTCCCCCATTCCGGGGGCCGGGCAACCCAGCTTGGGCTTCTGCCTCGTGTGCGCAGGGCGCCCCTCATTGCTGTGCTAGTGTGGCTTGTCGGCCATTTTGGCTCCATCAGGGAGGACATCGTGTGTCGAATATTCCCCCACCTCCAGCTCCAAAGCTTGGACTCTTATGCTGGGATCACCCCCCCAGCCGGGAGGGGGGGGGAGGGGAGCGGAGCCGGACCGGAATCTCTTGCAGTTCCCTTTTAAGTTGCGGTCCCCGCTCATGCAGCGTGTCACAGGTCTCTGGGGCTTGTTGTGCTTCATTTGTGTTCCTTGCCAGGTTAGTGTCACAGCACTGTGTTCCCGGGTTCATCACCTCCTGACTGTCCGTCTTTTTGTCAGTATTTCGTGGGTTTTTTGCGTATTTTATGCCGCTTAATGCGGGAGCCGGTGAGGATGGCTGCCGCTTGGCTCGGCGGTCCGGCCCCGCCCCCAGTATGAGTTTTTAAAACATGGTTTGCCCTTCAAAATAACAGATAAATCAAGTAAACGTACACGTATATTTTCTATCAACTATTATGGTCCAGGAGAAATGTTGGTGTGTAATAGCCTCTTCATGGCACAGATCATACTGTCAGCCTACGTAAAAGCACAACAGGAGTGAAAATTTAAGGGAAGATCTTAATTTTCTTACATTTTATGATTTGACTGGTGGTACCAAGGGGGCCCTGACTCAATGATTTCCTTAGGTGTAAGTCTGCATTAAATGATTTAAAATATGCTTCCGCATAACTGTCATATGAAATTTTACCACATCCCAATGGTTAACTTTGTCTATATCAGATCGTATTTATAACAGAATTCCATAATAGCAGAAACACAAGAAACTGACAGAAAATTTATCCCAGGAGTCAATCCACATTTACTTGTAATGCACCCTTAGGAACGCAGTCGTAAAGAAACTGAATATAAAATAGAGGTGTTCTTAAGTGATGGATTTATATGAGACACTGGCTTTCTTTGTTTATACAGTCAATTATATCACTAGAAACAATCATCTTTGCATAGTGGCAGTGCTCTTGAACACCAGCAATAAAAGCAACGATTAACACTTAATTTGCCAAGTTGATACACTGAAATTTTGTATATATTTTTATATATAATTTTCATCTAATTTAATATTTTTAAATAAATGCTTACTTTTTTTTAAAGTATGAAAATACAAACATATTAAATTAAAGCCCAAGTAGGCAGAGAGACACGGAGTAAGGTGGAATCACGGTGGCTGATAAAAAAAAATTAGGAGAAACAAATAAAATTACTCTGGCTCATGTTCATAGTCAACCTGGCTGATCAGTTTCAAAGCTTGTGACATCCTCTGTATTTTTTACAAGGCATATTGGTCTACAACAAACATTTATTAAAAAATAAATAAAAAATCTCAGCTATTAAAAATGAAATAAAAAATCTCAGTTAGATAAAGATGTAGTTCCTAAGATAGTCTTATTGGTCAAATAAGTAGAAAATATCATTTTGTTAGATTTGCTGCACCATCAGAAGCAAACCATTGTTTGGGGCACTAGTAAATCATCCTGGAGGCATTTAACTTTTCCTTGCTAACTTTAAACATGGTATTATTGTACTCTCAGTTTTAAACTAACAGGATTATTCACTAAAGTGAGAGTTCATAGTGGACTCAAAGTGAATATAAATTTAAAGTAAATCAAGTATACCCACAATTAAAACTTGCATGCATTTAATTATGTATGTTTTATTGGGAGTATATCTAAAAACAGGGTGTAAAAGCCGCAGATCTCTTTTCTGAAGCCTTTGAAAGCCCTCCTCTTTTAACCCCGTCCAGACTTTCTGTCGCTGTCCAATCACAGGCTTACCAATGCAGCTTAATGAGAAGTTTTTACAAGGCTGGTGCTCTGAGCAATTGCTGCCTCTTGAGTTTAGCTCCACTGAGCTAACCAAACCAGAAAGTAACATGACCTCTTTTCTAATTGACCGCCAGGGGGTTGTAACAAGGTTACTTTATAAAAGTGTCAATTTCCATTGAAATCTACAGTTTTTGTAAAATGCAAAAGAAAGCATACTCTGAATGCTTTAGGGTCTAGACTGTCCCTTTAAAGTCAAATAGCCAAACTGAAAATATTCTCTAGTTCAAACATGTTTCCACTTGACTTTAAATTTGGAATTCACTTTCAATTTACTATGACTTCTCACTTTAGTGAATAAAACTATTTATGTTGCATATGCTATACCTGCGCCTTCATTGTGACAGCAATACTTACAGGTTATAGAATTGCACCATATATATGACAGGTGCGTAATGTGCTGGCTAAGGGGGTTCAGTGTGGAATTGACTCTGGATTAGTGATGTGTATACCTGGCATGAAAACTGTGTTATTGTCCATGAAAGTATAAAGTTCAGGTTGTATGTGCATAGGTGTAGGAACTGAAGGGAATAGAGGGGGTACATTTCTCCCACAGAAAATAAAAAATAGTTGGTTCTTTCATTCTACTAATAGAGTTCCTCGGGATAATGTATGATTTTGCCTGTAGAAAATTGCAGAACATGTATGCTCCCTGTGTGATGCTGGGATTATTATGTGCCCCCCCTCAATCCCTTAACCCAGGGGTTCTCAACGTTAGTCCTCAGGACCCCCTACCAGTCCAGGGTTTAGGGATTACCTGGGTGTGTCTAAGGTGTTTAGAAAAAGAAAAAAAAAAAAACCTTAGAATCTAAGGTGTTTTTTTCCCCTTTTTCTAAACACCTGAGACACACCCAGGTAATCCCCAAATCCTGGACTGGTAGGGGGTCCTGAGGACTGGGTTGAGAACCCCTGCCTTAACCCCTTACAGATTTTGTTTTGTTCTGTTCCTACATCAATGGTTATGGGAATGATACATCTGTCAACCATGGGATGTTTTGTAATAAATGACGGTGACAAACCTGTATTAAGACATAACTGGGACTGGGAATGTTTGTGAAACATCAATGATTTTGTAAAATGTATTTTATCATATTTTAAATTTCCTCTACTATTTCCACTAAAAATAGAAGCTAACTGTTACATACAAGCATTAGCATTCCATCTCACCATGACTCCTGATGATACATGTGATAGAATGATACTTTTATGATGGAGCCAAATGATTCAAGTGTTGTCATCAAAGCTAAGGGCTGCATCTTGGATGCAGATGCCACTTGCTAAAAAAAAATAATTACAAAGAATTTATTTTGGAAACCTATTTTTATAAACTACTTATTTAAACTTTAAACTGTAGACAACTTCTATGTGTATTTTTCTAACCTTTATCTTTTGCTCTGTGCTAATCTTTAACTTATCTTTATTCAATAATTCACTACCGCTCAGTAAATGTTACAAGAGTAAAGTAAATAAACAAATAAGAATAATTAATATTTAATTAGATTTAGTGCTGCTCTGACTTCATATTACATTAATGGCATAGAATATAGGGTGATCTCCTGGGCAATTGCTTCAGTCCCTGAATGTTCTATTTTTTTCTTGTTGCCTAGGCAACCACGGAACTAACTGCAACAGGCCCTACAGTGTCTCGCCCTCAATGGAGTCCATCATTATACTGCTTAATAACATTTGTTGCTCACCCACACTCTCCTATAAATACGACGCATGAATGACCCTTGTAGCCACAACATCCAGTTATAAAAGAATATTTTCAATACCTTTTTAAGCAATGTCTATGCATGTGACGGCATTTATCTTTTGGTTGTTTAATACTGGACATCATTGTCTCTTTATGACCTTATCTTTCTCTCTCTCTCTGCTGAATAAGAAAAGGGAGATGGTTATTAATAATGGTAAATGTATGCAGATATATAAGGTAGATGTCTATCAGCAGGATTGAAGATGATGGGGAAAAAAAGCAAGAGGGGAAGGAGTGAAGACAATTTCAGCACTAGGCCCTCCATTATATGAACAACAGGAGAACAACAGGCTGTAAATTCAGTGCCTCGGGTCAGTGACTGAAGATGAAACACCATGAAGGGACAAGAAAGAAGGAAGTCTTGTTTGCTACTAGAAGGTATCTACATTTTTCTCTAGGCTGAATATATGATTGTAAGAAAACATGTAGATACTATGCCCATGCATTTGTGAAAAAGACATTAACTTGTTTGAGTTGGTGGAGTTATTTATTAAGTAAAAGTCTACAAACATCGCTGGCCATTTAAGCCATCCCCTTGTGCAGTCACATTACTGCTCTTTCTGTAGCAGAGGGTTTATGTTCAGTCAAGATGAAAACATGGCTAAAGAGTTTTCTTTTTCTACCTCTGATGTCTACGAAAAAAAACTATGTGTAACCATTGAATTGTATCTCTCTCTGGACTGCACTTGAGGGTCTACAAGATAAAATTAAATCCAACCTACACATTGCTGGACAAAATAACAGTCTTAAAGAAGAAGCAAGACTGTTCACTAAAAACAAGAAAAATAGGTAATTTAAGTGACTGATGTACTAAATTGGATTAGATACAGTCATGAATCCTTGAATACTATTGTCCCCCCATCCCCCACCTCAAGTCTTGAGATTTACCTGTCAGAACTACAGCCAACCAATAAGAGCACTCTGACTTAAACTGCCATTGTGTGGTGGCTGGGATGGACAATAGGTCCACGTCCCAATTTAATATTTAGGGGCCCCACCAGTCACCAATGGGTGTGGCCTGGGGGAAATAAGTGCACCCACATATCATTTAGGATCCCCTCCCACTGCCAGTTGGTGAGGGCTGAGGGGAACAACATGTCCACCCCTCTTACCATTTAGGGCCCCAACCGCCACCAAAGGATGGGACCTGGGGGTCCCTTATCAGTTAGAGTCCCCAACTGCTGCCAATAGGGGGCTGAGGGGTGGGAGGCTGGGGGGATATGGTGGCATGCTTCAGGTAAGACACCGATCCTGTTTTCATAGCTACATTAGGTCATAGGAGGTTGGGCCAAGGTAGAGATTTTTAACATTTAATTTTTGATGTTTGGAGTTTTGTGCTATTAGTATTACACCTCATTGCACACAGAATTTGGGAGAAAGATCAATGACATGGAGAGATATAAACACTATAAAATAGACTGCAAAATGTTTCCGCTTTCCCTGATGTTTTATTTATTTATTTATTAATTCATTGATATTCAGCTAAATTGGTTTAATGTTATTCCTGTATAATTTGATATTTTATAATTGTAAAGTGCGTCTAATTATTTACAAGGATTTTTCTAGAAACGGAAGTTTGTAACAAGAATGATTTATATTAATTAAAATTTTGATGAGTAGTTCAATGATTAGGCAAGTTTAAGTGCAGTAATAGGAATTAGGAACTACACGTGTATATCATCAAAAA